TTGTGGAACATAGCCTGATAATAAAGACATATTCATAATATTTAATAAATAAGTGCTAATTAATGGAAAAACTTCCTTCAACAACTTAGTTGGAATTGGGTCTAACATACACGTTGATGGTTTAGAAGAGAGAATCATTAAATTTAATTGTTCAAGGTTTATGGCTGAAAAGCATTCTAGTTTACTATCTAGTGTAATATTAGAACTTACGTTTCCGGGAGCTGTTGATAACACTATACTGGTCAAAGGCAAGAGGTCATTAATTTTGTTTCTAAGAGTAACAATTTTATCGTTAAAAAAGCACATAAAATCATTACTACTGAGTGCTATGGGAATAGAAGGCTCAATCGAGCTGTGGCTCTCCGTCAGCCTGGCTACAGTGCTGAAAAGAAATCTTGCATTATTCTTATTCTCATCTATTAATGAAGAGTAGTAGGCTGCTCTCGCTTTACGCAGTGCTTTCTTATATTCATTGAGAGTAATATGCCAAATTAAACGAGATTCTTCAAGTTTAGTGGAACGCCATATCCTTTCAAGTTGTCTCGACTTTTGCTTTATTTTGCGGGTTTCGGCATTATGCCATGGAGCTAATCTATGTTGTTTTATTTTCTTCTTTTTCAAAGGAGCAACAGAGTCTAATTTTATTCGCAGCGCATCTGTAGCACTATCAACAACATGATCAATTTGGGGTGGTGTACATTTTGTATAAGTTTCCTCCCTTACATGCAGACATGCTATCGAGTTAAGTATTGGTGGAATCTCTTCCTTAAATTTGGCTATAGCACTAACAGATAGGTTTCTGCTGTAGGAGCTTTTGACTAATGCTTTGTAGTCTCGTAACAGTACTTCAAAAGTTACTAAGAAATGGTCGGATAAAGCAGGATTATGCGGTTTGACTAATAGTTGCTCAATTTCAATACCATAAGTCAGAACAAGGTCGAGAGTGTGATTATAGCAGTGGGTTGGTTTATTTACACTCTGACAAAAACCAACAGAATCTAATATAGAGTTAAATGCAACAGTAAGGCTATTTTTATCATCGTCAACATGAATATTAAAGTCACCTACGATAATTATTTTATCTGTTTTAAGAACCAAAGTTGATAAAAACTCAGAGAATTCAGATAAGAATTCTGAATAAGGACCTGGTGCACGGTACACTCTAACAAATAAGATTGGCTGCAAAGTTTTCCAGGTCGGATGCGTAAGACTAAAAACGAGACTTTCAAAGGAGGTATAATTTAATTTTGGTTTAGTATTGATAAGTAAACTTGAGTCAAAGATTGCTGCAACACAACATAGTAAACACATAACATGTCCGTGTGGGAACAATACCCCCAACTGTAGTTCCATGTATGAATTATGTAACCCAGTGTATTAATAGGTGGTCACCACACAAGCCCCCCCAGAATTCAAACATGGCAAAAAAAATCCTCGCGTCCGTGGAGGAAGCACCACAGGGTCCGAGGAGGGTGGGGTCGCAGGTGAGGGCCAGGCCATGGAACGGGCCGACGAAAGGGTAGGGGCCCTAACGAGGGCACCCCCACCGGGGGCGGGCCGGAATGGGCCGTCGTAAGGGGACCGCAGTAGGTGTCGTGGCGAACCCAGCAGGAAAGAGCGCTGCCCGGCCGCAGGTGAAGACACAGCGGCGGCGGGCATGAAATCTCCGGAAGGACGGAGCGGAATCCCAGGGAGGCAGGAGCAGTCACCCCGGGAGGAAGGAGCGCAACCCGGCCGTAGTCAGACACACAACGGCGGCGGGCACGAAGTCCTCGAGGTATCCCCGTGAGGCATGCGAGCATCCCGGCCGCAGGCAAATGCACAGCGGCGGCGGCGGGCACGAAATCCTCGGCAAGCCTTGAGGTATCCCCGGGAGGCAGGAGCAGTCTCCCCGGGAGGAAGGAGCCGTGGACAGATGAGAAGCCAGACAGGGTCCCGGAGCGCGCCACCCATGGGCCGATGGAGCATGGGCGACGTCCGGAACTGTCGAGGCGAGAGGGGGTCCAGAAGTGCGCCACCTAGGCGCAGATCAAAACGTGAGTGGCGTCTGGATATCCCCGGAAGGCAGGAGAGGTCAGACAGGCTCCGGAGCACGCCACCCACGGGCCGATGGCAGCATGGGCGACGTCCGAAACCGTCGAGGCGAGACGGGGTCCAGGAGTGCGCCACCCAGGCGCCGATGAAAACGTAAGTGGCGTCTGGAACCGCCGTCGAGGTGGTGAAAAAGGTGAGTGTCCACACGAGGTCAACCGGCTGGTCGAACCTCCTCTCCGGCACCGGAAAAAAATTGTTAACAGTCAGATGTTAACAGCAATATGTCGACAGCCGTCAACAGCTAGCCGTCAGCCGCTAGCTGGCAGCCATGGGTAGCTGCTAGCCGTCGTTAGCCCCTCGTGGTTAGCCGCTAGTTGTCGTCAGCTAGCGCAGCCGGGACGTGCAGCCGCACGCCCCGAAGAAACAAGCCCACGAGGTAGCAATCGGGTTGCTGGTCGACACAGCAGGTCGTGCATCGTCCCCCTGTTGGATGGAAGGCTGATGCGGGAATGGCGAGCAACGTCCCCAGCTCTTCTGCGGGGCGCGCACCGAGCCTAACGGAGCCTACACACGGCGGCGTGCGTTGCCGCTTCAACGCTTCTGCCCATTCACTTTGAATGGGGTGACGTCACGATTCACCTAACTGCATTGTGGGAGCAAAGCGTAGCTTCTCTCGCGGTGCTCGCTGCAAAAGTAGAGCAATGTTCTACTTTTGCCGCCTCGACGGAGGCGTCAGCCAATCAAATCCCGCGTATGCAAATCTGACATTACAAGCGCTAGCCAATCAAACCAAAAATGGAGGAGAAAATGATCGTGGCGGTACTATATGACCAGTCCCTCTTTACATACAGGGATACAAACCGGAGGAGCCAGGCATGGGGGGAGGTGGCAGAGACAGTGGGTGAAACTGGTAGGTGTTCGCCTGTTTGGGGAGTTTATATCCAGTGTACTTCGTTTGAATGGACAGCTAGCAAGCATAGACAGTATATTTAGCCAGCATGGATGTAGCATGAATGCTTTGCTTTGTATGTCCGGGGCGGGACATTCATGTGATTGGTTGTTGGTCGCGTTGTTCGTAAAAAATCCCCAAGCTTCAGACACGCCCACCGCCAAGCGGTAACGCACGCCGCCGTGTGTAGGGGCCGTAACGGTACGTACACACAGCAGCTTTTCACAAATCTTCCACCGCTTCTCTGCCCATTGACTTTGAATGGGGATGACGTCACTTTGCCTCGCTTTTCGCCGAACTGCATTGTGGGGGAGCGAAGCGAAGATTTCCAGGATTTTCAGGATTCAAAAGTTGAGCAATGTTCAACTTTTGAAGCTGAGCTGGAAGCGTCAGCCAATTAAATCCCGTTTATGCAAATCTCCCTGCGTGTAAGCAGGGAGAACCAGACCGCAGTTCATTTCCTCATATTCCAAACGACAAATTACGGTAGCAAATCACCCGGTTCTTTACGACCAGAACTATTAACGGGATACAAACCGGAGGAACCAGGCATGGAGGGAGGTGGCAGAGACAGTGGGTGAAACTGGTAGGTTTTCGCCTGTTTGGTGAGTTTATATATATATATATTGCTCGCATAAAATCCCCGGGGTTTTTTGCTTTGTATGTCGCGGGCGGGAGATTCATGTGATTGGTTGTTGGTCGCGTTGGTCGCAAAAAATCCCCAAGCTTTCAGACACGCCCAGCTGCAAGATTTTTGAAAAGCTGCTGTGTGGACGTACCGTAAATCCGTGTGCCGGTGGCAGCCACGGACGATTCCAAAAAATCCCCGTAATTTCGAGAAAGAAAAAGAAACTTGAGTTCCTTTTGCCGTGTTCGGGTCCGTCCCGGAAACTTCTCGAAACTTGTCAGGCTCACCAATGTAGTGCCGAGAGATAGGGAGTCAGAGGCGGTGCAATGAAGGTGCAAAAGGGTACTTTATTTGAGAGCAGCTAAGGTCATGTTGTCCGGTTGCAGTCCGGGAAGAAGAGAGAGAAGCCAGGAGGGCACACAACATAGTAAACACATAACATGTCCTGTGGGAACAATACCCCCAACTGTAGTTCCATGTATGAATTATGTAACCCAGTGTATTAATAGGTGGTCACCACAATACCAAACTTAATAGCAATCTATCTAATAGTGAAAGTATTTTACTCAGAACCACAGATGTAGTTTTTGTGATGACACTGGATGAAAGTTTAGAGGATCACCAAGTCTTTAGGGGTTCATCCTTCTGGAACAATGAACTTCTCTCTAACAATTTCTCTCTGGACCAAAGTGGTAGACTGAACAACACTCCATATACCTCTGAGCCAGACCGCTTCCTTGGCGGAAAAGAAAATCCATGTGTCTCCTCTCTTGGGGAGAATCATTCGTCCTTTTGTAACCCAAGTAGAAACTCAATGAGAGCCAAAAGACCCAGCAATGTTCAAGACATATTTCTCAGGATAATTACAGTGTCATCCTCCACAATTATTCAAATACTAAGTACATGGAAGGTGATGAGAAGAGATTGAGTTAAAGGCTTTCTTCATTAAAGAAAAAAAATCTAATATCCTAGAAAGGCTTAATTGACACTAATTGCTCCACTAATGAGTTTCTAAATTGGCTCTTAAGATGTTTTACAATCGTCCTTGTGATACAAATGGAAATCCAAAAAATTGGCTCCCTATTTAATTATTGTAGGAAAACTGAAAGGAATGATGTATTTAAAGAAAAACCCTTCTGACATTGATTGTCTTTCCATTTCATGTCTCTGAATAGTGAATTAGGAAATGTAGCCTCCTGCAGTGATCAATGCAATAAAAAAAAATGCTGACATTGGCTTTGTGAATGTTAAAAGATTGTGAACAAATTACTTCCATAATAATCATGTCTCTACATTGTGCACTCCTGCATGTGCTGTATGCATCCTATTACTTCATTGATAAAGGTAAAACTGCTCATGTGACAAGAAAAAATAGGCTGACAAAATCAATGTTTTTCAATGATTCTTTATATACAAAAACAATATACACAGTCTGGACATAACAATAGCTGTGTTGGGGATATATGACATCATCCTTTGACTTCACAGATCATAAAAGAAAAAATCAATGCATTTCAATGGCTGTTTTTCAAATTGGAGGCTTAACATTGTGACTGACACTTGTGAGTCTCCAGCAAATCACTTCACCTTCCTGTGAATCGCACATGATGAAGATAAAATAACATGTTGACGATTAAAGGCTTTTGGCAGTCAGATTATGGCTCTCCGATTTGATTTGTGAATGTGATAAAGGAAGCCTCAAGAACCATCACAAGAGCAGACATCCTCAAATGTAAACATGTTCATGAACTGGTGGTAGTTCACGGTACTGCAAATAAACAGCAGCACCTGGGGAAAGTTTGTTGATGTCTGTGGATGTTTAAAACACCTCAACTGGAATTTTAGAGAAGTATTTTTTTTGTAATCTAATGGCAGGAATTCTTTGTTTGCATTAATTTCACATTATCAACAATGCAAGGGCTGTGTGGTGTGCCAACACTTTGATTTGGTCTCGATAAGGTTAATTGTGTTTATCTTGCAGCTTCATTTAAGATGAGATGAGACAGACTGCAGTCATAAACGTTTGACAGGACTCGCTCCTTGTGATTAATACTGTCTGGTTCAACCATCTGTCAATGCTCGTCCACACTAGACGCAATACCTAATTCTATACTAAAGTATGGATGTGTGCATCGGTGAACAGAATAAAAAGGGCCCCTATATGGTGACAGCCCAGACCAGCACTCCACTGTATTAAAAAGTCACCTGTGTAATAAAATAGACAACACCAGATGCAAGCAGCATATTCATGTTTACTAAGCCATGACTGGATCGAAGCTTTCCAAGTAAGACTTTTGATTGTATCTAAAGCGTTATTTATTTTTTTACAGTATTTGCTGTATTATGTTCAGCTTTATACACAAGAGGCTGATATATGTTTCTTAAGATATGTTTCTGGACGCTGTTTCCTTTATATATAGCATAGCTAAAGAGGTATGGGAGATTTGGATGGGACTATATGCTGCAAAGGGTCGAGGGTGGGAGTCGAACCCGCGCCTCTGCGGTTCGGACTCAGCATTAGTACACGGTACATAAAGAAGCTAATTTCACACTATGTGCAGACAATCAAATTAACTGTGCCCAAGCCAATGTAGTTTACATTTTCATATCCTACATTGTGCAAAGTGACCTAAGGTTATCGGAAGAAATAAATCCAACTTGAAGTCCGGAACGGATAATAAATTGCTTTTCAACTGAGTCTTCATCCATCAAAAACCTACTGCACTGCACCTGCTGACTAAAGTTGAAGTGGAGGTGGAACAGACTAGGAAATAAGCAGTGAAAAATGATTTTGTCAGTGATCTATTTAGGAAACAGGAAGGTCTGGTAACAGGACAGTCCTTGAATGAACTGTTCTCTGTATGAAGCGAACTGTTGATGTCATTATTATTGTCTGGGGATAATAAAAAAATAAGACCATTAAAATCAGAGCTTAAAACATGTACATGTTCAATTGTATCATACTGGTAGTAAAAGTGATTTCAATGTATGCACATGCTCGATATACATTATGTACAAAATAATCAATATATATAACAACATAGACATTGACATGAAGGAATACTGTTGGTTGTTTGCCATCACTGTACATCATTTCATGAGACAACCTCCGCACAGATTCAGAAGCACAAAGAAGAAATGTGTTCTTTTCAGTTACTATTGTGAATAATGACGTCATGTTGAGGTCTGTGGTCTATTGTGAGAACACACGCATTTAGACGTCAGCAAGCTCTATCTGTCAATCACTATTCAGCAAAAATATCTCCTTGACAGTTCAATGTGCTGGGGAGAAAAATCACTTTTTGTTTTTCTTCTCAAATTATTTCTTAAAATACATCTGAGAGCAAGTTATACATTCAGATTATCTGTGTTTCTACACCAACCTTTTTTTTGCGTAAGCTCAGCAAACATTCTGGCTTTCACACACAACAATAAAATCATTATTAATTGACCGCTTTTGCATTTTGCTTCAACACACACCTTAAGCAGAACATCTTAAATTGCACCGAAGGGGAACATTAAAGCATAAACAGCTTGACATCTTTATATTTAAACTCCTCACATTAAATATCAATTTAGATGTAAGAGTCTTCTTTTTAAGAGTGCAAAAGGAAATCCCATTAATAATACATAGAGCCGTTTACTAATCTCCACAATGACTGCTTAGATAACTACAACACAGAGACATTTATTTGACCTTAAATGTGAAATTAAAGGAATAGTTTAACATTTGGCGATAAGCTAACATTCACATTATTTGCCAGAAGTTAGATGAGAAGATTAATACCACTCTCATGCTCTGTGATAAAGAAAAAAGTCTACCATCACCTTTACCATTCCCCCTGCTCCCAGTGTTCATGCTAAGCTAAACTAAGCTAATCACATGCTAGTGGAATCGATCTTCTTATCCAACACAAAGCAAGAAAGTCAACAAGTGCCTTTCATCACTGGAACAATGATTTTGACTGACAATGTATTTGTTGATTATTTTCTCAAGAAATATGATTCAATTAAAAACACGTGGGTTTGCTATCCTGGCTCCAAAATGGTGGAATGAGCTTCCCATTGACATCAGGACAGCAGAAAGCTTGCACATCTTCCGGCGCAGACTGAAAACTCATCTCGTTCGACTCCACTTCGAGCGATAGAATGACTAACAAAGCACTTATATACTAATAAAGGACTGGATTACCTAAAGCTAGTTGAGTAGCACTTGAAATGTTTTGGCTCTATTTAACCTGATGTACTTATATGATTGTTTTCTTCTAGTTTGTATCTTCTTGGTCGAATGCACTTATTGTAAGTCGCTTTGGATAAAAGCGTCAGCTAAATGCAATGTAATGTAAATGTTTCATCTATAAATCATCAGAAAAAGATGCAAAATACTGAAAAACCAACCAGTATTCAGTTTGATGTCGTTTAGGGTTAAAACAAATCACAACCTCTCTAGCAATTTATTGGCAGCGTTGCTTAAAATCTGACTGAAATGACGTAGTTTTGCAAAATGTATCAATTGTTTCAGCTCTAGTCTATTTCCCAAAGTTAAACAGTTGTTCTGGTTTGAAATAGAATCAAACACATCTTCAGCGCTGGATACAAGGTGCATGTAAGGACAAGATTGAAAAAGGACCACTCTCCTGCGTATCTACCGCGGGCTGACAGCTTAAATGCAAAAGCATGTTCGAGGAAATGGAAAATAAAGTACTTCTTTGAGAGGACTGTACTTTGCTTAGAGGTGAAACTGAGCATTGTTTCTCTATTCATAAAACCATCAAAGGGAATCTGCCAGATGAAATCACTGAAATAAGAAGATTAACATTTAAAATGTCTGCTTTTTCTTTGGAGGTCAAAGCTTAAAGTGGATCCAACAGCAAGTCGAGCACTTTGTGACCAGGCACTAAAATACTCAACACAATACATATGATGGTACATGATCAGTGTGTATCATCAGGAGGACTGCTGAGGGATTACCATTGGCCAGAGCTGGAGTCATTTCCATTGCACTTCACTGTGAGGGCCTCAGGTGCCGAGCAACCCGCCATCTTTAGCCATTATAAATATAACACTCGCAGATTATTCTTCATCTATATACACATCTTCATCCTCACTCTCTATAACTCTTATGATATAATGCCCTCTAGTGGCCATATACTTTAAATATGTCTATGAATTGAACTGCAGTATTTCAGATACAGCGCCAAGAGGCCCTCTCCTTCCATCTGATCTATGACAAAGGCACTGACATCAGCACATAATCACTGCCGTTTCCTGCTCTGTGAGGATGTCCTTATATGGACATTTGGCAGCTTCATGACAAGGCATACCTCGGCCAATACACAAACCATTGAGTACAATTAAGCCACATTCACTGCTAAGAGGGTCATCATTTCCCCCCCCTGGGACTTCTCATGACACATCCTGAAGTGAAACAAAAACAAATATACTAGCAGGTTTTGGCTATCTACAATAAATAATCTAATCCGAGCGCTATACACACTACTGGTCTTCTGACTGTAGATATGTGCAAATGTTTCACTGGTGTCCATGATGGCCGAGGCCTTAAGACACACCTGTAGCCGTCACCAAAGACATAAGTACATAACATCAGGTGCACGAGGGTCCCCAAGCAGAGTGAGCTGTCCTGCAGGGAGCCGTGCACGAGAGCTTGTGCTGCTGACGTCCAACTGGCAGAGAGCACTTAGGGCCGATGGAATCTGGAGAAAAAAACAATACACAAACAGTCTTAGTTCATTAAAAAGCAACACACATGCACAGTTTAAAATTACTCAATCAATAGAAATCACATGTGTAGTTGCTGTCAACGCAGAGATAGTCATTTAGGGTTTTATGGGTTGCAATCAAATTACACTTAAATTGTTTGTGATTAATCTTCCCATAAAGTTGTGTTAAGTGAAAGCCCTGAACCACATCGAGAAAAAATATTTAGCAGGTGCTTAAAAAGCAGAAGGATAAGAACCTGCACATCATTTAATAATCCAGTAATACATTCAATGATCTACTGCTGCCACAATTTCATCTGATATGGATTTTTACCAGGCAGAGACACTTCTTAAACACCTGCCTTCACAATGTATCGTGTGCTGCAGTGTATTGCTTTAGACTAGAGAATGAAAATGGTCTGATGATTTTTCTGTTCTCTTTTTTTGTGATGAAGATGAATGATGTAGATTCTGCAGGAATAGATTAAGGTGATATTGGTTTCACTTAATATTATGGAATACAAAAGATATGGTAAGATTATATTGTGTTTATCCCTTGGGGACATTGATGTGCAGCAGTTGCAATAAAAAAGGGGGGAAAGTGCAACATAATAATAACATTAGGGTGAAAATCCCAAATAAATGATATACAATATAAGGTAAACAGTTTGGATAATACAAATATAAACAGGATAATGTTAACAGTGTTTGTATTCTATTTTTGTATTGGAAAGCTGTTCTTTAGGACTTTCACGCTCACAAATCAAAAGATATTGGCGAAACTATGCAATGTAACACATATTGAGCATCTTCTACTCAAAGTAAAGCCACCATATTAACTGATTTGAGTCAAACAGAGTTCATTTGGAAAAATATATTTGACTCAAATGTGTATCACTTTTTACTGGTGGATTAAACCCCTCTGCCACACAGATTTAATAACATACGAGAGCGTGAAACTGCACTTTATTGCCAATCAATGGCGGAGGCTAATGAACTGGAGCAGCAGACGCAGGTGTGTATATCATCATAACTTTACTGTTGGAGGAAATGTCTTCTGAGGACAAGAGTCGTATAAATATTGATCAATGTGATGTAATAAAACAGTAGGATTTACGGTGATACATTACTAATGAAGCAGGAGCATAGACTGTATATATAAATGGATGTAGTGTCCGTCATGTCACCCATACGTTTCTGCAGAGTTGCTGTGAAGCCCGAAGCAAAAAGTCAAAAACAAAACGTATAGAAAGACCAATCTTTATTTTCAGGTGACTCTTCTTTTAAATGAAACCTTCAGACATGAGATATGATTTTCCAGTAATAGTATTGACAATCTAAAAAGACTGAGCAACTCAACAGCTAACTTTACATTTCTTATTGTCTAAAGCAGTGGTTCTCAAATGGGGGTACGCGGACCCCTAGGGGTACGTTGAAGTACTGCAGGGGGTACGTGAGATTTATTTTATGTTAATGAAAAAAAAAAAAAAGTAACGAAGTTTGAGCAGTGTGGGTTTTATATTAACAGAGTTACACATATTTCAAAACGTGAAGTGTAATAACTGCAGTGGCCTTCCTGTCACTGAGAATAACAAAGATCCTCAGTGAAGCACAAGCCCATGTTTCGCACTAAATTGTAAGTACAACTTATTAAAAAGATCAGTTAAATGCAACTAATGTCGTCTTAGTGTTATTGCATGATGTTAAAATTGGTTTGCCATGAATTTAGTGATGAATTGTAAACATTTGAAATGTAGCATTTAAGTGTTTCTCAGTTACAAGGTTGTTGTTTTAATAAATCAGACACTGATGGTGCAGCACTGTACTGTACCTCTTTATATAGGCATTTCTTCCATAACAAATTGTTTTTGCGCTGATCAGGGGGTACTTGGCTGAATTTTTTTTTCAAAGGGGGTACATTATTGAAAAAAGTTTGAGAATCACTGCTCTAAAGCATTTGTTACACTAATTTTTTTCCCTCTCATATTCACAGTGTGAACGGATTGAGACAGCATGGTGTCCAGAGAGCTGCAGGGACTTCAGGGAGAAACCTCAGTGTGATGGACGGCCTGTCTGTGCCGGAGAGGACTGAGGTAGAGAGGGCTTTCCTCTGTGAGAATGACCAGGATTAATTTTCCTCGTGGATGTTCTTCTTGACCCTCGGAGAAGGAGAAAGTGGTGAGGCAGTCGTGGCTTTCAGGCATGTCCTTTCCTAAGAGAAATTACAAGAAACATAAAACATGACATTATTGCAGAGCAAGTGTTTTATTTATGAAAGAGGTGTGTTTGTGCGTTTAGATATAATAATTTTTTTATTGTAATGTATTTTTTTAAATGTCAACAGTGAGCTACAAAGATAATCAGATTATGAATGAACAGTATGAAGTTCATCAACATTAAAATATATTTTATTATCAAAATAATATTTAACTGTTATCAAAACTTAGTGCAACCGTAGTTTCTTGCTCTGTTCGGCTGTCTCACTGAAATAATCACTTTTACCACATACACAATATAAAGAGATAAATAGTAGCAATTCTTACTATGTGTTAAATAATTGTTTTCTTCAATACATTGAAATAAGAAAGTTGACAAAAGTAATGTTGCTTGTTAGCATCTAAAATGTAACCTTTTGCATGCAAAGAACCTTCAACTGCATTGATGTGAAGGTGATCTAGCATGAGGTAAAGTTGAATTGAATGTATATCAGTGTATTATAGTCAATACTTCATCTTTTTAAAATGTTTCTCGATTCTTTGTACAGTATGAAAAAAGGGTATTTGTACCTTGGAGTATGTGCTGAAGTCCACTTCTGTCTCACTCTCTGGTCCAGCCTGTCTGGATCACCTAGAGGAGACTTAAAACAAACAGATATATGTAAAGTAACATGTGTTGGTTACAAGCTTATGTACATGCAAACAATACAACTTATTCTCTTCTGTTGAACATGTTGGATTGAGTCTAGTCAGGATCCTTTTTATTTGACTGACTTGGAAGAACAAATGTAATGCAATGTATAAGCAATAATTTCCTTGTCCCTGAAGACCTGACTACGCTATTCATCGTCCTTAAATGCAGGCATGTTACATATTCACGATCTACAGCCACAATAAGTCAGTTTCTCGAGTGTTACAATAAAATAAATAGTAAGCATTGGTAATAACATTTATTAAATCAACATTTGGGTTTGTTCGTTTAATATGATGGTAACGTTAACTCACTAGCAAACTAACTAATACGAGGATGACCTTATTTTACCTCACACAGAAGCCTTTTGTTCTACAGTACAATCCCTCTTAATGATTAACACTTCTCTATTATGTTTTAACTTGGATGCTACGGATTGCATCGTTAGCACTTATGTAGCTTTTTCTCGCTCAAATGCTAACCCAAGTCTAAACATTCACGTTAGCTCAATACAAACAGTAAGAAATAATGTGCTTGAATTTCACTTACCGAAGAAACCGCATTCATGGACGGTATGTTAAGTCCGATATTTACATGAAGAACACTCCACCAGGCACCAACACAACACGTCTAGGGCTGCAACTAACAACTATTTTTTCCCACGCACGCTGTTGAAGATTTTAGTCGGACCGTGCTTCGAAGGCAAAACAATGTTTTTTTTTCTCAGAGTGATGTAGACAGCTCCGCAAACAGAGAGTAACAACATAGACCCAAATAATCGATAACTGAATTCGTTGCCAACTTTTTTAGCAAACTATTTTTATCGATTCGTTTTTGCAGCCCTATACACGTCCAAGTTCAAGTTGTGTTCCCCGGATCAGCCGAGCAGCTGAGCCCCTGTAGCAGCCTGGAGCTAATGGAGCAGAGACAGAAAGCTAGGAGCAGCAGTCACAGCAGAGACCTGAACCATTGCAGGTGGAAATCTAAGTATATCCAGAATATGTTTTTTTGGATCCAGGCTAGAAACATGATTATTTCTGCTGTGAAGTTGGGCATTTTAACATGGGGGTCTATGGAAATAGCGCTTTTCTGCATCCATCCCCTATCGGCCACAAGATGAACTGCGGTTTGTGGCGCTTCCTTATCGGCTTCACGGCTCTGCCCCAGAGTTTGCCGCTTGAGAACGGGAGTTAGTGGCACACCTGACTAAATGGTGGAGGTCATTGACCCCTGGCGTACCTGGTGAACTGTTTGCTGTCTTCATGAACCGCCATCTCACGGCTCTTAAACTCGTTCAGCTCCTTACGGATAGCAGCCTGAGGGAAGAACACACACACACACACACACACACACACACACACACACACACACACACACACACACACACACACACACACACACACACACACACACACACACACACACACACACACACACACACACACACACACACACACACACACACACACACACACACACACACAATGATAAAATGCACCTAGCAGGACAAGGCCACCTGTTCCCCTAACCCACACACTCACAACACATCCAGAAAGCTAATACACAGCTGTGTGTTCTACTGTCTGTTTTTATAAAACACCATCAATAATTGAATATAGAACTATTGTATTCAGAAAGTAAATAACAAACTCTTAAAGGTGGGGTATGTAATTTTGGAGAAACCAGCTCGAGTGCGCTATAATTTGAAAATACACAAGCGGAAAAAATCTGCCACTTCCTCACAGAGCCCCTCCTCCAACACACACAAACGTGCACATGACCAATGAGGGCACGAGATAAGTTTGTGCACAGATGGAAGGCTGACAGGCAGGTAGGCCATCCAGTTATTTTAGCCGGGCCGGCTCAGATGATTGGTCGTGCTTTATACAGTACTACGGCTTCCACAGATGACATTTTTGTATGCATTTATTGTCAAAGGAAGCATTTAATATATTCATTGCTATCGGGATGTTAAGAGCATTCCATGGAATATAACAAAAAGTGTTTCTGAAATAAATTAAATACCCCAACTTTAAGTGTTATTAAACTATATATGAAATCCTAACTATTGATGAGCTTGTTGCAGTCATTCTCTTTCGTCTGTCAGGGTTTAGTGATCAGGAGGTATATTAGTTGTGATTTCTGTATGATTTGTAGTTCTTAACATCAACAGCAGAGGGCATGCTTGACATAAAAACTGCCCTCCAACCCTGAGGGCCTTTATCCTTCTATGAGGTTTTGCAAGACATGAGGACCTTTGAACAGGAGCTATGGTGCATGCACTACAATTCTTTCTGACACATGTTTCATCTTGCATGTGGGCAAGTGATCAAAAATATATAGTGTGTACTTTATATTTTATCATGTATCTTAATACATCAAGCCAGTTCCATAAGAATACATTCTTCGGAGTCCTATTTGTTGTTTATTACAACAGTAATATTATCCTTATATAATAAATATAAGGATTATTATTATTATTATAGTAATGCCCACAGTTTTGAAATGATAAACTTAACAAATGCATAAAGGCAAATGTTCAAGTGTCTTTTGTCAATGCAGTGACATCCTTTAACCACTTAAAGTTGCATTTAGAGGCCGATCTAAATCTTAATCTAACAATTAAAAAAAATGATGGACACGGACTAATACTTACATAAAAAAGTGAAACAGTAATCATCTATTAACCAATAAATCAAGGTTTTACAATGCAGCATATTCAGTTAAGCACCTTGTCGGAGGGAGTAAGCCGGGTCCAGGGTTTGTCCGCCCGCCGGTCATAATCCTTGGCGTCCGTTACCTCCACATACTCGTTGAAACGAAGGATCCTGCGGGCCACGAGCTCTGCGACTGTAGGCCTCACACTCAGCTACACATACAGAGGAAGAAGCACATTAACATCAAGAACAGTCTTCTCAGTTAAAGTCAAACAAGCTGGTCATGCTCTGTATTTATTATGTAAACATTTTTTTCATGTGAGCATATGTTAATTTCCCAAGAGCTGCAAAGGAAGAATACTCCACAGTTTCAAAAGTGTTAGCTCCATTTGTGACCACTAGAGGGGCTGTTATGTTCACATAAGTATCTTTTCTGCACATCAGCCAAAAGGTGGAGCAAAACACATTAGCAGCTAAATATAGACTGTCTCCGTCCTATCTGATCTTTGTAATGTGTGTGTGTGTGTGTGTGTGTGTGTGTGTGTGTGTGTGTGTGTGTGTGTGTGTGTGTGTGTGTGTGTGTGTGTGTGTGTGTGTGTGTGTGTGTGTGTGTACTTGTGTGTGTTTACAGTACCTTTCTGGAGAGTCTCCTTTTAATCTCTTGCCTGGCTTCTTGCTCCTCAGATTCATTTTTTTCTGCACGCAGAGAAGCAACAGAGTCATTTCACACCTACAGTACTGTGTCTGCAAGAGCCTCTGCTCCTATTTATAACAGCAAGATGTGATTCGCCATACAAGCGTGGCCATCCATGGCTGTAGAGTGGTGTGATGCCTGAACATAAACAACAGCTAAAGGGGATATATGTATTCAGATTTTTTCAAGAGAGAGAATAAATCATATTAGTAATGCATTCTCTCCTGTGGCGTCTTCATGGATATTTATTATATTCTCTACACTCACACTCAATCACTCAATGCATTAAGGCGTGGTTGAGAATATCTGCTCAAACTAAGCATCAGAAAGGGGAAGGAAAAAGGATTTAAACTAATTGGCATGGTTGTTGGTGCCAGACAAACTGGTTTTGAATATTTCAGAAGCTTCTGACCTACATGGATTCTCACGCACAACCACATCTAAAGTTAACAGACACAAAGATAAAATATCTAGATTTTAAACCTCTAAAACGAGGTCAAAGGAGCAGGTTGTACTGATTTGAGCTGATACAAAGGCAACAGTGACTCAAATAACCGTGTTATCACAAAGGAAAGCAGAAGAGAACACAAAGATGTCAAACATTAAGCAGATGGAAGCTGAAACTGAAGCTACAATTGGCCAATTAAAGAATGAGGAAATGGGGCCTTGTCTGAAAAATATTGATTTCTGCTGCTACACTCACAGGGTAGGGTAAGCATTCGGTGTAAACAGCATGGAAGGATGGATCCATACTGCATTGTACCATCAACGGAAGCTGGGGATACTTTTTTGGGCAAACTTTGGCTCCGAAATTGACACAATTTATCATTTATACGTCACAGCGTATATGAGTATTTCTGCCCTTGTCCGTATGGGCAACCAATCTTCTGATGGCTACTTTTAGCACAATACACACCATTACATGTTTACATCATCTAAAACTAGTTTGTTTTAACATAGAAATGTGTTTACTGAACTCAAGTGATGTTCATTCATTAGATGCTGGCCTCATTCTGCTGGTGTTGACCACGTAGTATCAAGTAAGTATCAACACCTTCAGATGGATGCCATGCACTGAAGTTGCAAACCAACTGGTTGCAAAATCTTGTTATGAAGATGTGTCAGTAGATCAGTATCACATCCTGGCCGTTTAGCAGCTGTTGTGTATTTAATGCGTTCAGTTACAGCCTCAAGTAACTGATAGTGTTCATTCATGGATAACATGTCATTTCAAAGGGATAAACTTGATCAAAACAATGATCAGATATATTTTAAAGTCATGTTATACCTGTTGGGTTATGCCATAGTTGTTTGGACATACCTTAGATATAATCAACAGTTTCAGAGTTTTGCTTTTAATGTGTTGTATCCAACACAAACTGGTGATTGTTGTTGGTTGCTATTTTTTGTGTGTTTTCCACTTAGCAATAAGCATATTATATTCAGTCTTTAGTAGGAGAAAAAGCAGTTTGAACTGGTTTGTATAGGCCAAGAGCAAAACAAGTTATTACCCAATATACTTAGCTGAAAGCCTTCTTTTTGGTCTCAGAAATGCAAAGTTGGCATAATAAGCAATCCTGCTAACCCTCTAGCAGAATGATTTAAGTCCTGCTTGGTAGTAGAACACATATTTATTGACTATTTGACAGTAATTTTATCAGGGTAAGTGTGTATTGTGCAAAATACAGCCCTACTAAGTGACCTGAACTAACTTGACTTTTATTAACGCAGTATACTAGTCCGTAAACTCACTTTTGATCCAGCCTGTGAAATAATACAGACCTCAGTGTGACACAGCTTCTAATAGACTGTAACTCATAATTTAGACGGGCATATCTGTGTCATCTCTTTGCTTAATGAAGCACGCAAGTCGGTATCTGGCAATTTGTTGCAGCCACAGCTGGAACACCACAAAACCTGTTATAACTTAAAACATCTTTTCTTTATCAGATATGAAACTTTATGTCATAAGGACACACGATATTGGTGTTGCAATCATCAGTTATTCCTGCCTTTTATTTGTGCGAAAAATGGACATAAAAACAGCTTTGCAGAAAATAAAGTCAGGATTGGATGGACATTTTATTATTCACTATTATCAAATCTAGCTGTTTATAGTATACAATTGTATTAATTGTAATCCCCCAACAGTTATTTTGCCAGATTTTATTTTTCTATTTTGAGCTAATTCTATGATAGATGATCATACAGTATGTTGTGACAGTACTTCATACTTTTATCTGGTGTCTTTTTATGTATTACGTTCATAATATTGCAATAGCTTAAAGAAAAGAAAAAGTTTCTAAACATGATGACACCCTAGAAAAGCTGCATTACATCACCCCTCAGTGTTATAGTGTATTTCAGAAACTCACGCTTGAGGATGTTTCTCTGCTCCAGCTCGTCTGTGCTGGGTCTTTGGCTCAGGCGCCTGAAAAGAGAAAACTGTGTTCACGTACTTCCTTACACGCAGCTGATAAGAAATCATTCAAACATAACACTGACTTCAGAATAACACACATCAATTATAACAGTTACATTTGGGAAAAAACATAATTATTTCACACCCTCTTCTTGTTGCTAATCCAAGTGCTGTTTGCCACCAGCCTTTCTGCCTCGTCTGGTAGTAAACTTAAGAACATTTTTTTTTTAACTTATAAACCGCCCACAACTACACCATAAAACGGTTAACAGTCTCTCTTATTACCCTAAAGCCCTGCCAAATCCAATATGAAAATTCACACCTAGCTACAGTTTCACAGCATGGTGAGTGTGTGAGTGTGTACCTGACTAGTTTGGAGCCAATCATCTGGCGGAACTCACTTCTCTCCATCTCAGAGCTCCGCGGCAGAATGTTTTTCTCCTCCAGCTCTCTCTGGCTGGGTCTGTTCCCGAGCTTGATGTTCAGGGTGTCTCGTCGGCGGATCTTAATGGCCAGGGGGCCTGGAACAGAGACATAGAGCTAGTCAAAGGCTTGTAAATGCCTTAAAAAACCTGCATCATGTTCACATCAACTGCTAGCTCAGATTAGCCTATAGCTAATCACACATCTAATCATTTATCATCAACTATCACAACACCTTCAAAGTGAATATGTTCTGTTTTTCCTGGTTGAAAGCTCAACTGAACCCTCAATGATACTTAAAACGCTAATTCATACCACAAACTTCAGGTGAACAACTTTGAATTGTTGGAATATAAGAGGAGCCTAATAAACTGGTCAGTGTAAAACCATCAATCACTTCAATTGTAATTCAAACCAAGAGCTGCTTGGGTCTCTCTAGTTTGTACGCTGCTTTTACAAAACTAATAGCATATGCTTGTGAAATACCAAACACAAGCACCCACACGTGACAGTCGATGTGTCACGAGGAGCTTCTCTAAAATGTTTGTGCTACAGGCATTTTCCTGTGTTCCTGTTGTGTGATGCTTAACAAAACTCATGCCGTACTGGTTGTGTACTCGTCTTCCTCCTCATCTTCCTCCTCATCGCGGTACAGGATTGGTCCATCAGAGTCAGAGTCGCTAGTTGTGCTGTATCTCGGCCGATCGGGGATCACCGTCACTTCGGCTTTCTCTGTGTTCACAGTGAGGCCCTGTGTCCTTTCTGACTGGCCCTCTGCAGACCTGCGGGGAACGACAAAGAAACAAATACTGAGAAATGTTAAGCTGTAAATGTTAATACTTGTAGTTATTTTCACACACAAACTATTGATATATTGCCAGTATTGACTGTTAAGACCAGCAATGTCCTATAGAATGATCAGAACTGACATTCGGAGAACACGAATGTGAGGAATGTTTCACCAACTCTCATGGCCTCGCTACATTTTTACCTGGGGCTGTTCTCCACTGCAGACTCGGTTTCTCGTGTCTTCTTTTCTTCCTCTCCTCCCTCCCCTCCTGTTCTCCCCCGTTTCTCCCCTTGTAATTTGTTGCCCATCTCTCCTTCAGTGAACGAAGTGTCCTCTGTGGCACCGTTGATATGGGGAGAATGGGCAGTGGACTCAGAGGCCACACCCTTTTGTGTCTCCTCACCAGCAGTGGAGCATTTGGGAGCAGATTTAGGCTCTCCAGCCGGTTGAGAGGCAGCCTGAGATCCCTCTGTGTTACTGCCTGAGGCTTTAGAGGAGGCATGCTTGGTTTCTGAGGAAAATGACGAGCTTTTTAACTGCCCGGGGGTGCTAGGAGTCTCTGCGGGGGCCTTTTGAGGTACGGAGGAAGAGCTGTTTGATTTCCGGATGTTCCTTGCATTAGTCCCCCCAGTTTCTGATCCACCGTCTTTGGACGCACGAGAACGAGGGGTGGTGGCGGGGGCGGTTTTTGTCGTGGATCCTGTCTTCTTTGGCTGGGTGGATTTGTCTGAGAAGAAGCCGGAGCAAAAGAGAAAGAGAAAGAGAGAAGGGTAATATTAGACTTTTTTGTCTGTAGGTGTTCCAGTTTCCTCCAACAGGAAAACGTGCAGGTTTTGTAAACATAAACTCAATGTCTGCTGGTGTGTATACATATTCTGTGTCTTACATATTTACTTTAAAGTCCAACAATGATGACATTGAGTCCTCCTTTTTCCATTAGAACTGTTTTGGTTGTCTTAAATGTACTGTTCATATCAATGTTATTATTAAAAAAGGAGGAAAAGGGGCTTTGGGGAAATGTTTCTTTTGTCTCAGTTGGCTGTGTTTCACTGACAGCCGCCTGCAGGCTTGGCTCCGGTGGGGGAACGAGGGAAAAAGTTGTGAAACTTGCGCTGAAGCAAACAAATCATGGGCAGAAATATAATCGTTTGGTTTCTACATTTTACTAAAAGGAAAACTTAGAACCGGTGATTTACTGAACAGATATGTATGAAAGAGTAACTTTAATTTCATTAAGTAGGGCTGTGACATAATCCATCATTATTGATTACATAATAAATGCAACCTTTGATGTTTAGGCTATAAAAACATTCAGATTTGTATGTCCTTGACAAATCCATTAAAAGGCTTATCATTTTGTCCCAAATCTACAGTATATGGGCATAACAAATGTTATCTAGTTCAATGCAGTAATGATTGCACCAATAATATTTCAGTATTAGAATTAAAGTTTCTAAATGCATCATCAAAATGCAAAAAATGTAGATGACCAAAGGGAATACTGACTGTAGCTCTGTGTTGGTGAAAGCAGCCCGAGGAGGGGTGTTTAATTACTAAGAACACTAGTGAAACACATTTTTTCACACGTCTCCAGTCACTAAAAATAAAATGCACAAATGCGTTTTCAGAAAAGACTGCATGAAAAGCACAGTAATATTCTGACTCTTGGCTGCTTAGCTCAAGCATGCTGCAAGTAGTGTACACACACACACACACACACACACACACACACACACACACACACACACACACACACACACACACACACACACACACACACACACACACACACACACACACACACACACACACACACACACACACACACACACACACAGAAGGGATACATGGATGAACAGTGATGATCATGCCCTAGCATCATGCCTTCAATCAAAACCACAGGAGCTTGACAGAGACCATGTTATGCTACACTGACCTCAGTCACACTCATGTGCTCTCTCACACACACACACACACACACACACACACACACACACACACACACACACACACACACACACACACACACACACACACACACACACACACACACACACACACACACACACACACACACACACACACACACACACACACACACACACACACACACACACACACACACACACACACACACACACACAGAGGTTGTATTGTCCATTTACAGAGCTGAGGAAAAAAAAACACATTTCCACTTCTGCTTTCTCAGAAACAGATATCATAAACCCTTGCTCACATTTACTCACTTGACCTGAAATACCTTCTGGTTATAAAAGGACAGTTTCAAGAGGGAGGGACGGGGAATTCTATCAATAAGCTTGACTCACTAGTTTCAGACGGCTCTCTTTATTCTATTTAATAGTGTAACAGGCACAGTTTCCATGCAGGGAGGCAAGCAGCTAGCCGAACTTACCAATCACACGACTAGTGGTGGTAGTGCTCCGCGGGTTAGCTTTAGCCTGAGTGGACGTGCCTGTCTTGCCTGTGGTTTTAGTAGTCTTTTTATTCCCCGAAGCACCCTCCCTGTGCTTGGTGGTGGCTGCAGTGCTACCCGCAGGTTTGGAAGGAGCCGGCAGAGTGGCGCTTTGCTGTCTTTGTTTTTGCACATCTCGAGGTCTCACCTGCTTTCCCCGGGCGAGGGGTTTAGGGGCGGACCTCTCTGAGCAAATCAGTGGAAACAGGAAGGTTTTGAGATGTTAAAAAAGGGATTAAAAGCAAGAAAGAAGATGCAGATCGGATTCAGAAATGGTTATTTAGTCAAGCAAAGAAAGAGAATGGAAGATAAGAGGTGATTAGGACAGAGCTGACGATGTTAGTCTTGTAGTTTTGCTACAAATGAAGGATGTATCAAGCTTGGAATATGTTAGATAAAATGTACAGATTGACCTTCCCTACCCTTCACCATGAAGGCATGTGTGTTCTGTTACTATATTAGCAGTGTGTGTTCCCTTTGCATTTCTGCTTATCGACAAATGGACAAACAAATGGCTCTGAGCTCAATGCTAACAGGGTTGAAATGAGCACAGCGCAACACTTAAGCATCAGACAGAAGCACAGTGGCTGCCTCCTGAGGGAGAGGGAGGCATTAGCAGAGGGCTGCTGCTGGGTTTAGACTGAGAATGCCTGCTGCATAATGGGAATATCTATCTGAACACATTAGACTCTGTCAGAGATCCCACAGAGGATTTCATATCAGCCAGAAACATGCTGCCAGCCGGTACAAATGCATTCCCCGAAAGAGGGGGGAAAGACTTCGAAGCAACAAACATCTAAAAAAAGCTGCAACAATTAGTTCTAAATTATAAATAGTATCTTCGTTGAACTGGACAGAAAATATCCCAGAAAAGAACCTTTGAACTTGGAGCCTTTTATGCTTCAGGTGTCAAAGTTCTTCATAGATAGAAGCTGAAGAGAAAGAGCCTCTTTCTTACTCTTTTTTCATTTGTATTTTGCCCCCGACCATTCTTTCTTTTCTGTCCAGGTATAACAAACTTGAACATATCGGGAACTTATTGGGGGCTTTTATATTGTATAATGTATGCTTAGTTCTAAGTGTTATTCCTTGGATAATTGTTCCGGTATTATAGATAGAATTGGAGGATGAAACCTCAATTCAATGGATAACTAGTACAGAGTTCCTATAGTAAAGTCTCCAAGTAGTCTTATATTACAGGACACATACCAAAGGCTGGCGTTTGGCCTCCATTAGTTACCTGTTTTCTTTTCAGTGCTGGCGGGCCCGGTGGCCTGCTCCTCCAGCGCCGTTTCTGGAGACTCAATGTCAACTTTGACCTCTTCTGATGTCACACTTGATGTGGCATGGCCATTCTGGTTTTCACTGCTGATTGGTTCCTCTAGAAAAGGTAAAACATTATTAACAGTGAAACCGAGCAGCTAGAAAGCAAGTCCAAACACAGTTTAAGTGGCCACAGGAAACTATATTCATATTTGACAGCTGAAATTTAAAGTGTGAAGGACAGTGTTCTGTATTGTATAATGATAATAAAGCTGAACATTGCACCTTGGATACGTTGCAATAATGAAATGAACAACATGTGAATGAATGATCAGGCAAACCTTGGTCAATAATCAGAACTCCTTTCTTGATGAGCTCCTCCCTCGTTTGTCTGGTGGAGATTTTTCTCTCTAGAACTGAATAAAAGACAAGATCAAAGCCTTTGTTTAGTCTCATAGCTGAAGCAATA